TTACGTTCATTCATGAATCACCCGACTCCTTCGATGTATCGTCAAGATTAAAAGAAGAAACGTTACGTTTACACGATAAGATATAAAAAAAAAAAAAAAAAAAAAAAAAAAAAAAAAAAAAAAAAAAAAAAAAAAAAAAAAAAAAAACGTAAACTATAATAAAACAATATTTTTCTTCTCCCCTCGCAACACGCGTTAATCAATCTCTAAAGTTGGGCGGGGTGGAGGGGGAAGAAAAAGTGGGGGAAAAAAATCAAGAATTATTTTATTTAATTTGCATGACTTATTTACTTATTTACTTAATACACGTATTATTTTTCCATTAAAGTCGAAACTATCACGCACTCGATTATATTCTAAATTTCGAAAATTTATATTTGTAATATAAAAAAATGAATGGATTTTAATCCGATCGTATCACCGTAATAATTAATGAACATCGAAAATCAGAAAATTATCGTTCTTTAGGAAAGACAATACCATCTCATTAGCGACTATCGATAACAAGTCTCCTTGATAAATTGCTTTTGGATGTAACAAACAACAATGAACGTGATACACGTTCTGACGAAGCGAGAAAAGAGAAGAAGATAGAAAAAAAGAAAAAAAAACGAAAGAAACAAGTAAATAAATAAATAAAAGAAAAAAGAAAATACGTATGAAAACGTATGAAACAAAAAAAGAAAAAAAAAAAAAGAAAAAGAAAAAATAACAAAAAAGGAGAACACGAGAGAAAAATTGAAGGGAAGAGGAGATTTAAAGAATCGACGTAGGAGGACGGACCTCAGGATTGTGGTAGCGCCTTGGGGAAACAATAATTTTCGAAGCACATAAGCAAAGATGAAAAAAGGAATTGGAAAGAAAAGAAGAAGAAAAAAAAAAAATAAAAAAAAAAATAAAAAAAAAGAGAAAAACAAAAAGGAAATGGAGAAGTAAGGGAAAAGGAGAAGGGGAGAGTTTAATCAGTCAGGTTTTTACTTGCAAGGGCTTTCGAAAGGTAAGAAAAGAGATCGGCCAAGGTGATGCTGAGAGGTTTCCCTGCGGTGTATTCGATGTAAAGAAGAAGTAACCATGAAAAAAAATGAAATCGAAACGAAACCGGTAAGTGGCTGTTCGTTCGTTCGTTCGTTCGTCCCTTCCACGTCCCTTCAAAGATTGGAACGAATGAGAAGGGACGCAGAACTGCATCGTTGCGCTTCGAACTTGATTACCTATACCTTTTTTTAACCATACCAGCATCATCATCATCATCATCATCATCATCATTATCATCATCATCATTCGCAAAATATACAACACAATCTCCTCTTTCGTCATAATATTATCGATCGATCGATCGATTAGTAAAATATTTTCATTTTTAATATCATTCTATACGATTAATATCGATTTTTCTATATTGATTTTTATCATATTTTTATGTATAAACATATGTACGTATATACGTATGTTTTTATGAATCATACATGAAACGATGAAAATTAATTGATTTAAAAAAAGTGTTTAGTGAATCTTTTTTTTTTTTTCCCTTTTCTTTTTAAATCACATTATTATTATTATTGTTATTACTTTATTTTTTATATTATTTTTTTAAAATCATAATATTGAAGTAAGAATGAAGTAGCATTTTTATTAACGTTAATTTACTTTCAAAGTCGCCAAATATTTTTCAAATTATCACAAAGCATTATCAACAAAAAAAAAAAAAAAAAAAAAAAAAAAAACACGATTTATCTCGATGATTCTGCAATTATTTTTTATATAATAAATAAATAAATAGGGTTTGTCAAATTAATCTCATAATTAATATCTTATTCATGGTTTTAAATTGTGATAATTCGTTACACAAGCAGGACATATGTACTTACATATGCATGTATGCACGGTACGAAGGTGAACGTATAGTTCAACGTGCTCTCTCGGAATGTCGAAGCTGCACGAGAAACGATGAAGTAACCGAGGAGGCCGTTGCCGGATACGAACGAAGAACCCCGATAAGAGTACAATAAAAGAGAAAAACAAACAAACAAAAATCCAGAAAAGGAAAAAAAAAAAAGACCGACTTTCATAATAAATATATCTGAATCTGAAATCTCTTCTTGAAGAGAAAATGAAAAAGAGAAATTAAGGAGAAGAAAATTATTAAAAATGTTCTTTTGTGATGAACATTAAAGGAGTCTCATAATCAGCTATGTGTTAAAAAGAAATAAAAAAAAGAGAAAAGAAAAAAAGAAAAAAGAAAACAAAATATTGATAAGGGACAAATATAGCATACTAAGTTTATTCTAATGATTCTTACTTTTCTAACACGATATTTATCAAAGAGAGATAAAAGCTAACGTATGAATCACGTTTATATTTATCAAATCATTATTAACCAATGTAAAGTTATTTATAAATGAAGGATTTATAGAGTATGCTTAAGAATTTATTCAATGAATCCCATGATGATGTATTTTAATAAGAATTGATCAAACATATGATTAAATAATTAAATTAT